CCATGCCAGGCCCCACTTCTTTTATAATATTAGGAACTAGCTGGAGTACCCGTCCCCTGGACGGAAGTTATGTAAATTCATGATTAATAAAAGGTTATCTTAGGACATGACAAGTTGCTTCCATTTATATGTAATTGTAAAAAACGCCAATAAAAACTACAAAACACAAAATATGAATCCTTCATGCCAAATTTGGCGAAGATCCATCTACACCATGCGAAGTAGTTGCATGGACATACAAGAGACAGTATTATGTTTGTAATTAAGCACAAAGCTACACAATGGACTATCTGTGATCTGCCCACCACGGGTATCGTAACCCGGATTCTAGCGTTGTAAGCCCGCAGACATACCGCTGTGCCAATGGGGGGCTATTATATTTGTATAGATTTGTTATTATCACTTAAGGGAATGCCACTTATAATTGTGTTTGACGAAATGACGCACAATTACCTTTCATCACCACAATAACCAAGTAAACGGAGACTAACATAGCAGGTGAAGAAAAGCAACGGGAAACAGGTGAAGAAATGAATTATTCGAAATACTAATGTGGAAATTAGAAATAAGAAGACAAACACAAAGTTTACGCACCACATACCAGGGTCTTTCAAGTCAGCTGACAACACAATGTTTAACAATGCACTGTCTTAAATGTTCATTAAGTTAAACTAAAAAGTAACCAGGCGTATTATACTATATACCACCAGCAGACACAAACAGAACACGACTTGTAATGCTAAAATCCAGGGTTTGATTCTCCATAGTGGACGCAACAGACAGCCAAACATGACAAACACACAAAACATAACAAATACTTATATGCAATTCAATAATAGAAAAACTATTCAACAGTTACTTACACGCTGCACACAGGCTACAAGACTTGTTCTCTACAGTTCCACCTTACCTCATTATACAAACTAACGGCCAGAGATGGTCACAACTTCCTGAACAATGAGGTCCAACAAACTCATGATAAACGACAGTTTAAAATTGGCATGAAGTAGCCTAGGTCGATACTTCTATAAGGTCGTCGTTTAAAGCGATGAGCAGTGGATGTCTAGACTCTACACAACAAATGTCTAGACATATGCTCAGTTGATATGTTAGAATAAAAGTTGTAGGAGGTATGACTGTTGTTTTGAATATTACAAACATGTTAAACAACATGACGTAACTAGCTTTTAACGCTCTATAAGTCTTCTAGAATATAAACGTATTACATTAGATTTTGTCTTATGTAAGGCTTGTATTAAAGTTTGTCAAAGATGTTTATAATTTGTATCACAGTCGCCGTTGTTACTTGTTATAGCTATACCCATATCTTGTTCATATCATTCTCATATTTATCTTCCTAAACGGCTGAAGTATTATTTAACATTATTTCAGATACTTCCTTCCAAATTTGCCAGGGACGTAATGCTGTTTTATAAACCAGTTCTTTGTTGCAAAACATACACAAGTCGTTTTAAGTCAATAAAATCCATCAAGGTTGCGTTTCGAACAAGTAAAACAAAAAAGAATGCTATTTTGATACTCATCATGGCGTCGTGTATGTTTGTGTTATAAATGTAAATTGTATTTTTCCTGTATTGATATCTTGTATTTTTTTCCTTTATTGATATCCTGTATTGATATCCTACTGCTTCTAATACCTTTCAGTTTTTCAACGAGAACTTAGTTTTCTCTCTAAACGACAAAAATTTTTCACACGTGTATTTCTTGATATTATGACAAATACACTTTTAATAAGTCAACATTTATTTGAATGATTGTTTGTTTTATTTAAAGAGTTTGTAGTCAATACAAAATTGGCTTATATGATAAATATGTACAATATTGAATAAATATTCAGAAAAGTGATGATTTCATATGTTTTATAGAATTCTTTAGTTGGTGGATCTTGACATTTTAGTGGTAAGTGCATGATTTTAATACTAAAAATGGTGAATTAATTATCGATACGCTCTCTCTCTTAAATTGGTGGCCTGGTATGGCCTGGTGGTTAGGGAGCTCGACTTGCAATCTAAGAGTTAAGGGTTCGAATCCACATCATCGAACATGTTGACCATTTCAGCCATGGGGGCGTTATAATGTAACGGTCAATCCCACTATTCGTAATTAAAAGAGTAGCTCAAGAGTTAGCGGTGGGTGGCGTTGACTAGCTACCTTCTATCTAGTTTGTCTCTGCTAATTAGGGACCGTTAGTGCAGATAGCCCTCGTGTAGCTTTGCGCGAAATTCAGACCAAACCAAATTGTACTTCACGATTTTCGCGCGACACCATGTCTGAGCACAGACTTCTGTGACAGTTTCGAAACATAGAACTCTTTTTTTTTAAGAAACTTTTCTTGGAAATTGAGTTCAAAAGGATTATGATTTTCCTCAGTAGAAAATAACTTTTTAACTAGAGATTGGCTCCACCAAGACTTGTACTTTTGCCCGTTGAACTTGCTCACGTTTGGTTAAAACCCAAGGAAAACTAACACCCGCTTTTAGAAATAAGTTACAAGACTTACAGTTTTGGAAATAAGTTATAAGATTTACAGTTTTGGAAATAAGTTACAAGACTTACAGTTTAGGAAATAAGTTATAAGATTTACAGTTTTGGAAATAAGTTACAAGACGTACAGTTTTAGAAATAAGTTACAAGACTTGCAGTTTTGGAAATAAGTTGCAAGATTTACAGTTTTGGAAATAAGTTACAAGACTTACAGTTTTGGAAATAAGTTATAAGATTTACAGTTTTGGAAATAAGTTATAAGATTTACAGTTTTGGAAATAAGTTATAAGATTTACAGTTTTGGAAATAAGTTACAAGACATACAGTTTTGGAAATTGGTTACAAGACTTACAGTTTTGGAAATAAGTTACAAGACTTACAGTTTAGGAAATAAGTTACAAGAATTGCAATTTTGGAAATAAGTTGCAAAACTCATAGTTTTGGAAATAAGTTGCAAGACTTACAGTTTTGGAAATAAGTTACAAAACTCTTACAACTGACTGATGGAAGACAAATTCTCTACGTTTCTGGCTTATCAGTTTTTGAATAAAGTTTGTTATTTCAAAGAAGATTCCGAGTCCCCCACCCCACCCAGTAGCTCAGCGGTATGTCACTGAACTTATTACGCTAAAATTCGTGTTTCTATACTCGTAGTGGGCACAGCACAAATAGCCCATTGTGTAGCTGTGTGTTTAAAAAACCCAACTAAACACAGTTCTGATTTGGGGTATACATATTCAAGGTTGCAAACACAACGTTAAACAACGCTGGGAAACATTGTTATTCATATGTTTAATATTTGACGGGAAAAGTTTCAGCGACATTTCACACATTTTTAGTTTATTTTCTGTTCTGGATCTGATATGCTATACTGTTTAACGTTAACCAAGTATAACCAGAAACTGTTACTGACCCCCAAATATCCATCTCCAGTAGGCAAGAGGGCTTATAACTCTAAAAATCTGTTTTCGATACTCGCAGTTCGCATAGAACAAACAAACAGAGATCACCAAATAATGTGCTAAAGGTAACAGGAATATAAATCTACCAAAATGAAATATTTATGTTTGTTTCTCTATTGATTTATCCATTTTACATTAATGATATTATACAGATGAACTATAAATGTTTTGATAAAAACTATAAATTTGTTAGATTTTAAACAATTCTATCATTTCGGTACTTTTTTACTGTGGTCATGGGTGGGATTTTTAGACACATTTTCATAGTGATTTACCTTCGTTACTATCACTATACTGTTTATATGTCTTCATCGTTATCCAATAGTTTTTAAACCTAGTTCTCTGATATCTTTACCATGTTTTAGTGATTTTAAAGCCAACACCTAGATTTTTAGTATCTTTACAGTGATGTTGATATTTTAGAATTATCCCTACAGTACTTTATCACACACGTACATATATATTTATTTAACGTGGCATTGTTATTAAAGAATCCACCTTTAATATCTTCACTGTAACCTCGTTAGTTTGGAGCCCAATATCAGAGTGTATTAATATCTTTAGCGTTATGTTCTGAACTTAGACCCCACCACCACAGTGACTTAATATACCTACTGTGATCTCGTCCTAAACTCAGATCTCATCGCCACAGTGACTTAATATTCCTACTGTGATTTCGTTCTGAACTCTGATCCCACTGCCACAGTGACATAGTATCTCTACTGTGATCTCGTTTTGAACTCAGATCCCACTGCCACAGTGACATAATATCTCTACTGTGATCTCGTTTTGAACTCAGATCCCACTGCCACAGTGACATAATATCTCTACTGTGATCTCGTTTTGAACTCAGATCCCACCGCCACAGTGACATAATATCCCTACTGTGATCTCGTCCTGAACTCAGATCCCACCGCCACAGTTACTTAATATCCCTACTGTGATCTCGTCCTGAACTCAGATCCCACCGCCACAGTGACTTAATATCTCTACTGTAATCTCGTTCTGAACTTAGATCACAACGCCACAGTGACTTAATATCTCTACTGTGATCTCGTAAGCTTGCAAATAAATTGATTTCAGACCAATAGTTAAACTTTGCAAATCTACAAGGGCCATCAAAACATATTAATTTAACACACCTTTACGTTTAGCAACAGTCTATAAGACTGATATTTTCAGATTGACTGGACACGCCCACAAGTTCAAAATTGGCCAATCACTTAAGATTTGTAATTTGTATAAATGTTCTAACAGAAACCTATAGGAAAGTTTTCTAATATTAAACTTCTTGTGTTCATTGTTAGAGTTTTTTTGCACACTCGCGCAATCATTTCTTTGATATTAAGTATATTTAAAACTTAATGTAACACATTTCAAAGTTTCGAAGAAGTACATCCATCAGTCGTATGCAATGCTGCGATTCCACGCCAGAGGGCAGCAAGTGCTAATGCGAAACGAAAACATTGATTTTTCATATCCTCAAGCCTTGATAACATCGAAGTAGTTGAATAAGAGGAGACTTCTATCGTTACCAGCCCGTAAGTGGCCGGCCTTCTATCAACGTGAAAGGCACATTGTCTAAGACAATATACCTTCGCTTTATTTGTGTTTACAAGAGAAACTACTCGACCTTCAAATTAAACCCTCAATGTCATTGACTACGTTATAGCTTCGATGATCACTACAGGTAAGTAGTTGTGTATAAAGGAAAGAGAAAACAAAAAGTGTGTAATTTTGTTTCTAGTTTGTTATATATATATATATACATTTGTTGGTTTTTATGCTTATACTTCTCAAAAAACAAATATCTATTTTTAAAGACAGTATATATATATGAATAATATAAACCACTTCATAGGTTGGTTTTCGGTTTATTTCTTTTGTTGACTGTTATACGACTTCGTTATTTTAACGGTAAAAATATTCTAAATAGTCTTGTGCTGAATTTCGCCTAAAGTTACTCTAAGGCTGTCTTCGCTACCCGTTCTTAAGTTTGAAATCATAGACTATAGGGCAACATGTCATCACCACCCACCTCCAACTCTTTAGCTACTCTTTATCAACGAATAGTGGGACTGACCGTCACATTGTACCGCCCTCTCGGTTGAAAGTGTGAGAATGTTTGGTGTAAGGTTCGAACCCGCGACCCGCAGATTGCGAGTCGATTACGCTAACCATCAAGTCATGCCACGTTCCTATTCTAAGAAGATTCATGCATGTTTTAGATGTTGTATACCTGTTTTCACACTAAATACGGGTACTAACATCGTTGTAGCTGTATTTGGATTTATAACTCAAATATAATTAATTTTTATACGAAGATGTCTAACATTGTCTTGCTTGTTTTAATCTATTTTTATAATTTGGTCACTTCGGATTTTGAAAAATACAATTTATTCTGTGCATTGAAGTCGGTGCAACACAGCTGTTAGTACAAACTTAGATATTTTACTTTTTCAAGAATTTATTTTTTTCATTTTTTTTTAAGTGAAAACGACACAAGTTTCATCGGGATTGTATTTTTTGGACTTAAAACGTTTATCATTACGTAAAGAAATGGCGACTTAGTATTAACGTCATCCTCGTATTATGTAAACATATATTAGATATCCACTTTATTGTTCTGTTTTAATACTAATTACGCCGTGAAGTTGCCCGATTTTATTATCTGTTTATTCTAAACCCAGAAGAGTACCATGCCTACCAATGACATTGACCAAAAAACGTCAATAAGACTCTTAATAAAATCAGGTTTATTTTTATGTGTTCCTTTGCCATTTGTCACTAAAATAAATATATCAAAAATGTACTCGGAATTTTGACGAAGGTTCGATATCAGCCATTTACATGTTCATGGAGTTACGGGAACCCAGTACTTCACATTATTTGTAGAAGTTTAGAAATAGAGTAATGAACAAACAAGTAATAAAAATACTTTAAATCCTCACTGGCTAAGGCTAGGAAATTTTGTGCTTCGTTTGATCGAAATCATAAAGAATCTTCTCCTTTATGAACTTGATTTATCATTGCAAGACTTGTGTATTTATTAGAATATTATTAGTTTTTACTCACCAAAACCACTTAAATTCGAGTGCACCTCAAAGACCAAATAATGAATGTTTATTTTAGCGACTAGAGAAATAAAAATGTTACAAATGTTCACACGCCCGAAGAAAGTACTTCTCTTTTTCTTGCTTTAAGAAAAGAATAAAAATTCAACAATCAGTAAAAAAGTATAGAAAAAAATAATATATATATATATATGTGTGTGTGTGTGTGAGTATACAAGGATGAAGCCTTACAGTCCCATTATTTCACACCAAAGGTGTGAGATGTAAAGGTTACAGTTATGGAGGGCAATATCTACCCTGAAGAAGGCTTTTGTGCTATACACTGAGATCAATGAGGTCCCCTTCCTCTTCTGATGTCTTCCAAAGTCGACCATCTATGCGCAGACGACGACTTTCGAGAGCCAGTTTGAGAAACCCACAAACACAGAAGTTATTGCGCTAAAGCATATTTTAGTGAGCCTAATTAACAAACAGCGTTGACATGACAGGTTAATAACTTCCTTCCCATTAGTTGTCATAAATAAATAAAGCAAATAAGACAGAACTTCGTATTAACTGAAGCGTGTTGATGTTACATTCGAAAATCAACTTTCCGAAATATGCATAAAAATCGTGAGCTATATATCGGTGAGAACATTATTATTTAGTGTGCGCTTTTAAACTGATTCTCAAAATGATTTATAATTATATTAGTACAAGTTGTCATTTTATTAAATGTATCTGTGTTTTATTTTTCGAACAGTCCATGGTTTTTGTATCTATTGAAACCTAGGCCCGGCATGACCAGGTGGTTAGTGCGCTCGACTCGCAAGCTGAGGGTCGAAGGTTCGAATCCCCGTCCCACCAAACATGCCCGCCCTTTCAGCCGTGGGGGCGTTATAATGTGGCGGTCAATTCCACTATTCGTTGGTAAAAAAGTAGTCCAAGAGATGGCGGTGGGTGGTGATGACTAGTTGCCTACCCT